TGGGCGTTCAGTGGGATGCGTAATACAATATCCAGAAAAGCATGTTTACTCGTAAAATCGGGCAAAACTTAGAAAAAATACGAATGGCTGCTGAAAACAATAGATCAGACTATAGATGGCAATTAGGTCGCTCAGCCAGGTATGACGACGGACCGTCGACTCACCTGGCATGAAATGCATGTGCTGCCTACAGGCACAAGGGGTCATCTCAAAGATAGTTTATGCTTTTTTATGTGTGTTGAATATGTTGAATAAGTTTAACATCTTACGTGTCTTCCTTTCATAAAGTGTATGTTTAAGATACCCATAGAAAAGTTTATATCAGCCATCGTATGAAATGTCTCAAAATATATTGGTGGCATGACCACCGGAAGATCGACAGGATTGGATATTATTTGTAAATTGTTATGACATGCCGTTTTTTCCCAGTTTAATTCTCCTGAAGGATTATTTTATCTTAGCTGATATCTCTGATATTCCCCCAGCCCGACCTCAACCACCGTCTGCGACGCCGCCCTGGTTTTGCTTTTGAGACGACCCTTCTACCTGTTTCTTTTTATAGTGATAGTGAGACTCCATGGCAGCTACGTCCTTAATAGTTTCAGTGTTAAAGTTATTATTTTTTATGTCAGCTATCGTTTATAATGAAGCTAAGTTTAATTACCAAATGGACATTTAAAAAGTGTCCTTTGTAATACAATATCATCGCACACTAATTTGAAAGCCATGGTCTGTTCCAAACAAGTCGATTTGGACCACACTGCTCATTTCTGCACTAATCTCTCCTCAGTAAAGTCCCTTTTCTACGTTTCCTATCTCCCTACCACTGAGACTGTAGTTAGGCCGAACTTAGTTTAACAGATATTTCACACTTTCATATATTAACTACATAAGTTGTAGTTATAAATACGAAAAACACAGGTTTTGTTCTATTTCCGACAGTACTTTAGAACCATGATAAAGCTCATGTTTCATAAAGTAAAACATTTTGAAAACTTTGACCATAATCATCCCGAATTCCTTTTTGCGCTTGAGTATGAACGTACATATATACGGTGTGAATAATGTGTAAATCCTCGAAGGGAAATTGGTTTTCAAAATTAAAGGACCAACGAAAACATCCTGTCAACTTTAGGGGATGATGCTCCTTCCATTGCCGTTCTTTAGATGCAGACAGGGAAGGGAGAAACTCAGATATGTTCCAATATCAGGAAGCTGTTGCCACCTCTGGGAATGGTGACAAATAAATGACATGATGGATGATCGACCACAATGTCAGATTGCTGAAACAGTAGGCATCACTCATGAGAGAGTTGAGAACACTCTGAGGGACGAAGGGGACATCACACTGGTGATACATCTAAGTATCATCACACTGGTGATACATATAAGTATCGTCACACTGGTGATACATCTAAGTATCGTCACACTGGTGATACATCTAAGTATCGTCACACTGGTGATACATCTAAGTATCGTCACACTGGTGATACATCTAAGTATCGTCACACTGGTGATACATCTAAGTATCGTCACACTGGTGTCATGGTGACATCTAAGTATCGTCACACTGGTGATACATCTAAGTATCATCACACTGGTGATACATCTAAGTATCATCACACTGGTGATACATCTAAGTATCATCACACTGGTGATACATCTAAGTATCATCACACTGGTGATACATCTAAGTATCATCACACTGGTTCTGTGGATGCTGACTCCAATGCTTCAGTGTCATCATCTCCGTGAGGATTCATTTTGAATAGAACCAAGCTGAGGTTTCGAACGAAGATGTGTCTTGGGTTCATCACTATCAGCCAGAGGCTAAACAACAGACAGAACTGTAGAAACAACTAAAGTCTTTTCCACCAAAGAAATACCTAAGGCTAACCTCGTAGATAGCATTAAAAGTGTGTTGTTCAACCAGGACACTTGTGTCTTTGTCACCATCATTCTCTTCCCACAGAGGTTACTTGTCATATCTTCCTACGAACCTCTGTTCTAATACGGCCATATTTCCCGGTTCTCGTAAAATCCCCTAGCGGCCAAAAATGGCAACACAATTACATCGACATCTTAGATCCAACTTGACTAATGCAAGCAAATGTAGGGCCACAAATATTCCTCCTCTGCCGGAGACTTGTGTTGATGTGACACACAAGACATTTAATGGCTAGCTTGTCCGTTGTCAACGAGGGCGATGGAGACGCCATTGATCCGCTATTACATGACTGAGTTCTGTCTAGAAATAACGTTTGCGGATCGCGCAGGGGAAGAGATTCTAGTTTTCCCGAAGCATACGGAAATTACCGAGACCTTGCGAATGATCACTTTTGAAACAACGCTGCTGATTGCACAACTAAATCTGATTGCAACCAATCACGAATCCTGACCACTCGCACCATGAAAGGGTCGTATTAGAACAGAGGTTCGTAGGAAGATATGATAAGTAACCTCTGTGGGAAGAGAATGTGTCACCATGGGTGCAATAGATAACTGTGGCATACGGTAGATCATCGGTACTGGTCATTAATAATAATAATAATAATTGTCATTGTCTAGTATCGTAGTTGTATGATGTCCTAGAGTCTCACTAGAAGCTCGGGATCATTTATCAATATTGCTGAGTCAACAACAGAACACATATTTGGGCCGAGGACTAATAACTACCCCCCTCTTCCTTCATCACTTGATTGTCGGGTTTGTTCACAGGATGCTGTCACTTGGCAGCGGTACTGCTGTGCAGCGTTAGAAGACTACTGCTTATGTTTATATGAGAGTTGAGTGAGTGATGGACAGTACCGACAGAGCAGGAAATACATAGCCATCGATTGCCTGGTGTCATCACTGATTTTCAGAGGTATGTTCATATAATGTTCATCGCCATTGTGGACCTTTTACCTTTCGGAGGATGACAGGCATTGGTTATTGATTAGTGGTAATGCTGAACAAAATATACTTTACCACCTCGACTGAGAAGTATCAATTCAGTGGTGAAGAGTGTAGATACGGTGGAACGACAGGGTGTAAAACATTTCTCAACTATGTAATGAAGGCACTTTATTTAAGTAACTACTTCTATAACGAGCCCGCCTATTATGAACGTCCCTGCAAATTTATTTCTGTTTTAGTGGAAATACGTATATCGAACAAAGGTTGAAACGAACTAACGCTATTAAGTGGTCCTTTGAGTTCGTTATAACAGTTGCTTAATGTATTCAAAATATTATTAAATGTTAAAAATATATATTATTTTAAATTTATGAACATTGTCCGCGTGCACCCGATCTACCACAATCTGGTTTCCACCTTTACAAAATATGAAGAACGACCTGCCTGACTGGCATTGCTCAAAACCTGATGACGCTACTTCTGTTGACTTTTTACACCAGCAGCAGGAGCCAAAAGCCATCAGTGAGGTTTCCAGGAACCGGCATTTAAGAATCTCTTGCAGAAGTGGGCAGACATCGGAGGGGACCATATTTTACATATTTAGCAACGAAGTCCATAGACATCATCCATTATCGTTGATCTGAATTCCTCATGGTGTTTCTCTTCACAGTAGGAATATTTCAGGATGGTAGCAGCAATAAATTTTACAATTAGGTAATAAGATTATAATTGATCAGTCACGCAGTTATTGATATTGCTCGGGGTCGCATTTGCATCGTATCGGTCCAAATTGGCACCGTAATATATACAGTGTACATTAAATGCACATTTGTGCACGTCTGATTTCTGTATCTGATTACGAAGTAGTCCCACTTCACGTGTCACACCTAAGTGGGTCAAAATTTGAGAAATTGTTAATTAGACACCTGGGCGCAGCACGCTGGAGTTAAACATGTACTAATGGCGACGCCGACTGTGTCAGTAATTGATTTCATTCACGACGTATAGTCATTACGTAAGGTATATGTTCAGCAGACCAAGCCACGTCATCGACACAATATGCACAGGCAGATAAGAAGCGAAGAACGGTGTAAAGGTTACAACCTATTTACCCTCATCCTGATATTGATATTAATGACTGTGGTTTGGTCTACGCTGCCTTTAGCAATTGTTCAGCAAACCAAACCTCGAACTTTGTCGTGACGAGCGAACGCGGTGACCACTAGGCTATCATACTGTCTCTTTATCAACAATATTCTGATACGTCGATCTCTTTACTGACATTTGTTTCATGAGGCCGTCGCAAGACGTTTACACGACGCCGTCGCATGCATGACGTTTCCATGACGCCGTCTCATGGCGTTTACATGACGCTGTCGCATGCATGACGTTTCCATGGCACCACCGCATGACGTTTACATAACGCCGTCGCATGCATGACGGTCGCATGACGTTTACATGACGTCGTCGCAAGACGTTTACATGACGCCGTCGCATGCATGACGGTCGCATGACGTTTACATGACGCCGTCGCATGACAGACTACAAGCAATAAAAGAATTTCATGCAAATTGTGTTGAATGGAGAGTACTGCCATTGAGCACATCTTGCTCTTCGATAACACCTGGTGTCATCACCTATTTTCAGTGGCCTCTTTCAATAGTATTTATGGCCTAATTTGCCCTTGGCGCTAAATGGAATCTGTCGGAAGACTGCTAGTTCTTTTGAATTGACGTTTTAAATTTCCCCTGAAGTTATTCATGGATTAACAGGTGTACGTTTAAACATATATTGTTTAAAAACCCTACAAGGGGCAAAAGATACCGCTTTTAGCAATGTTCTAGTAATATCAATGCGGGAGACACCAGAAATGGGTTTCACACATTGTGGGGAATCGAACACGGATCTTCGACGCAACGAATTAACGCTTAAACACTAGGCCACCCCACTCCCTAGCGGCGCCTCGGACAACTGAGCCGCGATACCATACATATCCTGACAATATGGGTGCGTTACGATTCGTATTCCGATACAGGGGCCCGATCCACAAAGCGTTCGTAACGTTACGAGCTGTCGTAACTCTATAGTTTATCATAGTATTATGAATATCGTAGCGCTACGAACGCTTTGTGGATCGGGACCCTGTAATTTTATATCATACGTCCATATTCTTTTCATTTTTGCTGGTGAATCACAACGCTGATTGTTTTGTTTTCATTTCGCCAAAGGTGTATTTAAACTACATGTTTCGTTCTTTTGTTTAGATTTGCTATTTCAATATTTCTTAAGGATCAATGTGTCCAGATAGTAGGTTACACTGACGTTTGGATAAGTTCCTTTAGTACAGTTAATGATGACAGATTGATACTATGAAAACTATATGGTGTTGCTATACTTTATATCCACATATACTGGACAAAAGTAGTTAGGGATAAATGAAAATTATGAAATTATGAATAATGATCTATTTATTCATTGACACACTGATAAAATATCTGTCATGAAAATACTAATATCCCTAACTTATTTTGTCCAGTATACATGCACGCGCGCACGCACGCACACACACACACACACACACACACACACATTCACCTATATTTACATATGTATTCTATTGAGAACCTCTTATGGGGGGGTATATAAATGTGTGAAGCCCATTTCTGGTGTCCCTCGCCGTGATATTGCTGGAATATTGCTAAAAACGGCGTAAAACCATACTCAGTCAGTCAGTCAGTATCGGGGTACAGTGTTATATATATTGCCCTATCGTTACAACGCTAGCTGTCACGTCTCCTCTAAGTAGAGTTCACCACGGACCCGGTATCCCTGTGGGGCTCCCTGTGGGGCTCCCTGTGTCCCCCAAATCTTGAGATCGTTCTACCTGGAACACCAAACGCTCCGTATCTGTAACAGGTGGAAGCCCGTCATCGAGGGTTGTTCATGCAGCTAAGTGAAGTGTTACCCACAGTGTTAAAAAGAACATGACCTACCCTTTGTTTCTCGCAATGAGAATCACATTTGCGCACAATCATTAAACAACGATTTGTTTCGACCTTCACATGACATTTGAGTCACATTTCCCTGCTTAGAGATAAACCCACTTGAAAATTGATTGTTTATCCGATTGCGTGTTCCGTTCTGCACGTATACCTTCTAATATCCCCTTTTAATATCCTGTAACGTAGATAATTCACAATACAATAATGTCGAATGTGCTCCTATGTCAAAATACGTTGGGGGTCTGGGTTAGAATTGGTCTTCAGAAACCCATGCTTGTTGTAAGAGATGACTAACAGGATCGGGTAGTCAGGCTCGCTGACTTGGTTGACATATGTCATCGTATCCCAATTGCGTACATGAATGTTCATGATGTTGGTCACTGGATTGTCTGGTCCAGACTCGATTATTGGCAGAATGCCGCCATATAGCGGCAATATTGCCGAGTCCGGCGTTAAGTAAAAATATTTAAAAACATTGGGATGAAATTATATCGTTTAATGCATTGCCATACATGCTTGGTAGGAATAGCAGATCAGAGTCGTTCAGTGGCCTCTCTAAATGCACACTGTATACCGTCCGAGTCAATCCCTATTGACCTACCCTTCTAAAGCGCCTCACGCCGCTGTGGAAAATGACGAGAAGCATCGAGTCTGTGTTGGAGTCCCAGGTCGACTTTTCAATGCTCATGGTTTTCGAGAAATGTCAAATACCTGCATCATGTCGAGTTATCCTCCCTACATGAGAGGAATCTCAGCACAGACACACGCGCACGTACGCACAGACACACGCACTCAGTCACTCAATTGTTACATCTTTTCACTATGGGCGTGATGAGCGTCAACAATATTATGGCCATTATGACTGTTACCTTTATTTATCATCAAGCTGTGAAACCACGCTTGCAAACTCACTCACTCACTCAACAACTACCTCACTCACTAAACACAAAGTCGAACATAGATAGTCATCTAAGCTTTTCATAATCCTAAGTAACTCAAAATTCTCAATCGAATAAAGGAATTTACATTAACGAACCTAGTTAAACTGACTATACTATGATTTAGTTAAATTCATTAAATATTGTAGAAATGTTATTAATAATGACTTTCGAAACATCAACGGTGGAGAGTATTTTCTTCGGCAATACTAATCACCTTTGCATCACACAATTTGCATCGAATCTATGATGACATCCTGTGTAAACTAAAGGTCCTTATTTTGTACCGATAACAAATGTTTTCTCTTTCTTCGTCTGAAACGTACCAGGGGATTTCAATTCGCTGGATTCCATAGTGTGTATGTTTGTAAAACCATTCCTCCAAACTTGACTCGTTTATGAGCCGGCAACAATAGTTTGACATTGCACTAACCCAAACTCCTTGACGTGAACGGGTTGTATTGTGCGAGTAAAAGGGGATTTCATTGCATCGGTCACACGAACCCGGAGGAGTCAGACCCCCTCTGACGATGTCAATGATTAGGTAGCGACTTCATGCCTGGGGGCAACACGGTGATAGTATGACAAGGAGCGCTTCTCCACTCTGTCACCCGAGACATGGGCTCTTATCTGTGGGGCGGGACTACTTCATTGGTGACGTCAAACATCAACGGCATTTACGTCCTCGGCATTCATGGCACAGGGTGTTGTTTTCCGTCACTTGAAGAAATATATCTGTAATATTTAAAAAATGTACTCATAAACAAACTCGACGCGTTCCGCATCCATAAGAAAGCTCTGCTAAAAGTCGATTACAGACTTGTGCATGGTATCGCCATAACTGTAATGATTGCGATAAGCTATCTTGACTCTATTTTAACGGTTGTTCCTGGAAAATAATATATTCATGCCAATAATGGTTGTCACCCCTTCATTTTTTTATTGGAGAGGGGTGTGGGGTGGGTGGGCTGGGCTGGGCTTTAGCAATGTTCTAGTAATATCAATGCGGGAGACACCAGAAATGGGTTTCACACATTGTGGGGAATCGAACACGGATCTTCGACGCAACGAATTAACGCTTAAACACTAGGCCACCCCACTCCCTAGCGGCGCCTCGGACAACTGAGCCGCGATACCATACATATCCTGACAATATGGGTGCGTTACGATTTGTATTCCGATACAGGGGCCCGATCCACAAAGCGTTCGTAACGTTACGAGCTGTCGTAACTCTGTAGTTTATCATAGTATTATGAATATCGTAGCGCTACGAACGCTTTGTGGATCGGGACCCTGTAATTTTATATCATACGTCCATATTCTTTTCATTTTTGCTGGTGAATCACAACGCTGATTGTTTTGTTTTCATTTCGCCAAAGGTGTATTTAAACTACATGTTTCGTTCTTTTGTTTAGATTTGCTATTTCAATATTTCTTAATGATCAATGTGTCCAGATCTTAAGTTACACTGACGTTTGGATAAGTTCCTTTAGTACAGTTAACGATGACAGATTGATACTATGAAAATATGTGGTGTTGCTAAACTTTATATCCACATATACTGGACAAAAATAGTTAGGGATATATGTAAATTTTGAAATTATGAATAATGATCTATTTATTCATTGATACACTGATAAAATATCAGTCATGAAAATGCTAATATCCATAACTTATTTTGTCCAGTATACATGCACGCGCGCACGCACGCACACACACACACACACGCACATTCACCTATATTTACATATGCATTCTATTGAGAACCTCTTATGGGGGGGTATATAAATGTGTGAAGCCCATTTCTGGTGTCCCCCGCCGTGATATTGCTGGAATATTGCTAAAAACGGCGTAAAACCATACTCAGTCAGTCAGTCAGTATCGGGGTACAGTGTTATATATATTGCCCTATCGTTACAACGCTAGCTGTCACGTCTCCTCTAAGTAGAGTTCACCACGGACCCGGTATCCCTGTGGGGCTCCCTGTGGGGCTCCCTGTGTCCCCAAATCTTGAGATCGTTCTACCTGGAACACCAAACGCTCCGTATCTGTAACAGGTGGAAGCCCGTCATCGAGGGTTGTTCATGCAGCTAAGTGAAGTGTTACCCACAGTGTTAAAAAGAACATGACCTACCCTTTGTTTCTCGCAATGAGAATCACATTTGCGCACAATCATTAAACAACGATTTGTTTCGACCTTCACATGACATTTGAGTCACATTTCCCTGCTTAGAGATAAACCCACTTGAAAATTGATTGTTTATCCGATTGCGTGTTCCGTTCTGCACGTATACCTTCTAATATCCCCTTTTAATATCCTGTAACGTAGATAATTCACAATACAATAATGTCGAATGTGCTCCTATGTCAAAATACGTTGGGGTCTGGGTTAGAATTGGTCTTCAGAAACCCATGCTTGTCGTAAAAGAGCACAAACAGGATCGGGTAGTCAGGCTCGCTGACTTGGTTGACATATGTCATCGTATCCCAATTGCCTACATGGATGTTCATGATGTTGGTCACTGGATTGTCTGGTCCAGACTCGATTATTGGCAGAATGCCGCCATATAGCGGCAATATTGCCGAGTCCGGCGTTAAGTAAAAATATTTAAAACATTGGGATGAAATTATATCGTTTAATGCATTGCCATACATGCTTGGTAGGAATAGCAGACCAGAGTCGTTCAGTGGCCTCTCTAAATGCAAACTGTATACCGTCCGAGTCAATCCCTATTGACCTACCCTTCTTTGGTCATAGTTACTCCGGGGCGGTGGGGTAGTCTAATGGTTAAAACGTTGGCTCGTCACGCCGAAGACCCGGGTTCGAGTCCCACATGGGTACAATGTGTGAAGCCCATTTCTGATGTCCCCCGCCCTGATGTTGCTGGAATATTGCTAAAAGCGGCGTAAAACCAAACTCAGTCAGTCAGTCAGTCATAGTAACTCCAGTCCTAGGTTATCATGGGGAAGTTGTCTAAAGCGCCTCACGCCGCTGTGGAAAATGACGAGAAGCATCGAGTCTGTGTTCGAGTCCCAGGTCGACTTTTCAATGCTCATAGTTTTCGAGATATGTCAAATACCTGCATCATGTCGAGTTATCCTCCCTACTCGAGAGGAATATCAGCACAGACACGCACGTACGCACAGACACACGCACTCAGTCACTCAATTGTTACATCTTTTCATTGTGATGAGCGTCAATAGCATACCTGGCCGTTATGACTGTAACCTTTATTTATCATATAGCTGTGATACTACGCTTGCAAACTCACTCACTCACTCACTCAACAACTACCTCACTCACTAAACACAAAGTCGAACATAGATAGTCATCTAAGCTTTTCATAATCCTAAGTAACTCAAAATTCTCAATCGAATAAAGGAATTTACATTAACGAACCTAGTTAAACTGACTATACTATGATTTAGTTAAATTCATTAAATATTGTAGAAATGTTATTTATAATGACTTTCGAAACATCAACGGTGGAGTTTTTTCTTCGGCAATACTAATCACCTTTGCATCACACAATTTGCATCGAATCTATGATGACATCCTGTGTAAACTAAAGGTCCTTATTTTGTACCGATAACAAATGTTTTCTCTTTCTTCGTCTGGAACGTACCAGGGGATTTCGAATCGCTGGATTCCATAGTGTGTATGTTTGTAAAACCATTCCTCCAAACTTGACTCGTTTATGAGCCGGCAACAATAGTTTGACATTGCACTAACCCAAACTCCTTGACGTGAACGGGTTGTATTGTGCGAGTAAAAGGGGATTTCATTGCATCGGTCACACGAACCCGGAGGAGTCAGACCCCCACTGACGATGTCAATGATTAGGTAGCGACTTCATGCCTGGGGGCAACACGGTGATAGTATGACAAGGAGCGCTTCTCCACTCTGTCACCCGAGACATGGGCTCTTATCTGTGGGGCGGGACTACTTCATTGGTGACGTCAAACATCAACGGCATTTACGTCCTCGGCATTCATGGCACAGGGTGTTGTTTTCCGTCACTTGAAGAAATATATCTGTAATATTTAAAAAATGTACTCATAAACAAACTCGACGCGTTCCGCATCCATAAGAAAGCTCTGCTAAAAGTCGATTATGCAATTTTATCATGACTTTATCATGATCACGTGTTTATGTTTTATTTTAGCTGAATGCAAACATTAGCAGCAAACAAAACAGACTTGTGCATGGTATCGCCATAACTGTAATGATTGCGATAAGCTATCTTGACACTATTTTAACGGTTGTTCCAGGAAAATAATATATTCATGCCAATAATGGTTGTCACCCCTTCATTTTTTTTTTATTGGAGAGGGGTGGGGTGGGTTGGGGTTGGGGGTGGTGGTGGTGACAACCATTATTGGCATGAGTATATAAAGAATAGAAAACACATCGCGAGTGTATTAAAATTTTACCACCTAAAGACGTTGCATTTTGAACGTAATAAATTAATTTGATAATTTTGCAATTTTATTAATTTTGTATAGAAAGTATATATATTACCCAAAGTACCATTAACCATTAAAACGTTCTTTTCAATAGTAACACACTTATGTTAATTCCTACCTTACATATAGGAGAACACAACTTTCTGTGGCTGGTCGGTGGTAACAGGTGTTACGTCGTCCAGAAGCTATGTTACTTTTCACACTTCAAGACATTTTTCAATGATATAACGGCGAAGGTCGGAACAGTTAAATGGACCCTGTTTGTACAAAGGATTTCTCATGATTAAAGAAATGGTGTTTCAATTATCAATGCTGTCTATCAAATAGTGAGGAAACCAGGTATTGGGGGGAAAGTGTGTCTTGCTCCATCGCTAGCACCGGTCACAAACACATGCAAAGGCTTGTCAATTGTTCACCTTAAGAAACGCACGAGAATACAATTGTACAAGCCAAAATTCGAAATTGCACCTGATCTTTATTCTCTCTGACGCGAACAAAAGTGGAAATGTCACGCACTGAAAGCTTCACCCAGGGCGAATTGTCTAACCTTTCGAAATATTCGCAGAAAACGTACGTTCGTTTGTACCTTAAAATCTCTTAAATCCTTTGTTATTCTTAAAGATGATTCTGCACTTTGATCTGAGGCAAGCCTCAAATAATGTCAGAGCATGTTGCATGCCGAGAGGAACAGGTGCAGCTTGTTGAAATTAACACGTGATAGACACGAAATAAACAGGGGGCTAATTCCCCCCTCGTGCATCAAACAATCATTGTTGTCGACAAGTAGAATTTATGTGTGTAATACCAGCAGGGTACGTGTGTGGGGTATTGAGGGGACAACATTGGGATTCTGTAAGAATGTGTGTACTGGAACACCCCAGTGGCCACTGAAAGTAGAGTAAACTACAGTTATATCGAACTCAATGGGGCCACGAATATTAGTTCGATATAACCGTAGTCCGTTATAACAACCGGGACCAAAAATGCTTCGTTATATTCGTCAGTTCAATGTAAGCGTATTCGTTATAAACGAAGTTTCAGTGCTTCTGGGGAAGCTTTATAATGGTAGTTTTATGTTTACTGGTTAATTCGGTGTTAACAAGGGGCGGTGGGGTAGCCTACTGGTTAAAGCGTTCGCTCGTCACGCCGAAGACCCGGGTTCAATTTTCCCACATGGATACAATGTGTGAAGCCCATTTCTGGTGTCCCCCGCGGTGATATTGCTGGAATATTGCTAATACGGCGTAAAACTAAACTCACTCATTCACTTAGCGTTTTACAAAATAGGGAAACCATATAAATCCCATTTCTAGTGGCCCCTATCGTGACATTGCTGGAATATCGCTTAAAGCGGCGTGAAACCATACGTAGTCACCTACAAACCAACAATGTGAGTGCTATGGAAATGTTTGTAGATCATTTTAATGGTACGTATAATGCTCATATTTGTTTAAGAAATATCAATTTAAACAAGAGAAAACAATCCACGAAATGACAGCCATTCGTTGGTATCAGTATCTGCATGCCACCAAGCCTGATTGCATGAGTGAGTAAATTCGGTTTTATTCCGCTTTCCTTCCCGCAATATCAGGTAGGGACACCAAAAATGGGCTCGACACATTGCAACCATTGTGGGGAATCGAACCCGGACTATCGCCTAGACGAGTGAACGCTTTCACCTTTAGGCTACCCTACCGCCTGTATGCTGACAGAAGATTTTGTTTTAAGCTTGGTCATATGTGAGAGTAAAACACTGGCTACGTTATTGACTAAATCCCACACAAATATTCCTCTTAATGCGTCATTGTATATGATAACGCAGGAAT